CACAGGTCCACGGCCACGCGCAGCGGCAGCTGGCTCAGCGCCGACGCCAGGGCGCCCACCAGGCGCTGGAAGCCCGCGTCGTCGGCCGAGTGCAGCAGCAGAACCGCGCGGCCCCTGGCGGCTACTGCTGGGGAGAGAAAGGGGAAGGGGAGATGTGAGCCCCCCAGGCCCAGCCCGCACACGACCCCCCCCCCACTTGCGCAGAAGTCGCCTTCCAGAGTCTCAGCCACCCTGGGGCACTCCCAGGGTCACCCCCTCTCCCCCCTCCCTTCTGGCCCTCCCGCTCTGCTCACCTTTCACGCGGCCCCTTCTGAGGAGAAGGAGAAGGAAAAGCGCCCCGGCTAAGAGCAGGCAGGCCAGCCACACCAGGGCCCAGCGCCGGCGGACATCTGGGGGCCCAAGAGAAGATGGCCAGTTGGAGACCCGCCCTTCACCCCAGTCACCGAGCTAAGACTGAGGCTCCCAGGAACAAGCGGTTCCCAGAAATCCAGAAGAGCCTCACGCCTCACAGGGCCTCCACTTGGATGACCGTGGGTGGGTGATTCAGGGGGGGTCTGGGGGTTCCACGGTGCGAGCTTAGGGCAATCACAGCACCTGCTGCGGGGCGGTGGGGGGACGGGACCTGTGACGACAGTAAGTGCCCCAGGGGCAGCCTGCATTGCCCTGTGCCAAGGAGGGGGCCGCTGGCTTTGTCCTCCCGCCAGGGCGACTGCAGCAGCTTCCTAATTGGCCCTGAGCCTCTTTGGCTTCACCCCCTGGCAGCCCCACAGATCTTTTAGAAATAGAAATTGGATGAGTCAGACCCTCGGTGGGCGCCTGAGACGGCAGAGAACTGACCGGTACAGACTCCTGCCGGCACCTCTGGTGAACACTAGGCACAGCAGCAGTTACAGAGTAGGACGAGAGCCCTGACCCAGCGGGAGCACGGTGTTGCTCCCGGTGCTCTCTGGTAGTGCTGGGTGACTGCAGGTAACTGCTTGGCGGGAGGTTCCGGAAGGGGCCCCCCAGACAGTGGAAAGCCCCTGCCGCCTGACCCCTCCATCTCCACAGAACGCGCTGCTCCCTGCGCCTCCAGAGCGCGGCACCGACCGTCCACGCCTCACCTCCCACCTCCACCGGCTCAGCCCCCCAGTCACAGCTCTGCTGTCTGAGTTACAGCTGAGGGGCTCGGCGCAGGGTGTTTGCCTTCCTAAACTGGCTGAGACGGGGCAGGGCGTGTGGCTCTCGGTGGAGTGGGAACCCCTGCAAGCACACCACAGGGAGTGAACAGGTCCCCTGACCCGACACCCGGGAGCCAGGGAAAGCCCAGGCCGCGCCCTGTCCTGCCCCGACTGGTCCCTGTGGGATGGCAGCGCCTGGTGTGGAGAGGGCGGCTGGGATACTCACACTTGTCCATGGGGCAGGCCCACAGCGCGCCCAGGTCGTCCTCCCACAGCTGGAAGACAGAACCACATCCAGAGCCGCGCTGAGGGGCCAGCCCCGCCCCCGTCCTGCCTGCCCGGTGGTCAAAGCCCCACCTCAGCTGTCCTCCCGTGCGCAGCGGCTTCTCGCGGCTGCTCCGCTCACCCGCTGCCTGCTGCCACCCTCCAGATCCGGCCCACAGCAGGGCAGCCTCCCTGCCCGCCCTGGAGCCCGCGACTGGCGCGTGCTCCTGTTTACTGGTTTCTGCCAGCACTGAGCGGCCAGGGACACAAACGCCGCTTCTTCCACTCTGCACATGCCCAGGGCTGGCACAGAATAAGCACAAGCGGAAAGCGAGTGGCACCAGAGGGCCAGCGAGGAGCCCCGCTAGGAGGAGTGAGTTCCAAGAGGGGACGAGGCCGGGAGGCCTGCTGACCCAGCCCCGGGGCCCAGCTCACCTGCAGACACTGGCCTGACTGCAGGTCCTGCAGTAATCGTCCTCCGAGGCGAGCTGCCCTCTGCCGAGACAAGAGGTGGGGTCTGTCACCTGGGTCACCACGCGAGGCGGCTACGAGGCGCTGTCTGGGTGCGGCAGTGGGGGTGGGAGGCCCGGGAGGCTTTTGAGAGGCGACTGAGAACGGACCCAGGTCTGAGTCACCCCCACATTCCCAGAGACCAGCACAGAGGAGGGGACACAAAGCAAAGTTTTGGGGTGGAGGGGGCCCCCTGCCCTCACCGTGGAAGCCCCGCCCAGCAGTGGGGTGCAGCCACTGGGCTCCAAGGCACAGAGCGATATGTTGTCCTGAGGGCCTCTTGACTCCACCAGCAGCATATCATCCTTGGGGGGGCCCAGGGATTCTGGAAGGAGTGAGACCCCTCTGAGTGGCGCTGGCCCCAGCAACCCCCGTGACCGCCAGCTTCGGGGTTCACCCTTGAGGTAACAGCCCTGCCCCGGCGCCCCAGGCCTGCTCACCAGCCCACAGGCACTCTTGCAGCTGCAGCTTCTCCCAGTCACTCACCTGCGCGGAAGGGGCCAGGGTAAGGGCACACGGAAAAGCAAGACAGGCCAGAAAGCAGGGCCGGGCGGCCAGGCTGGGTGATTGGTGGTCGCCGCCCTTTCTTTTAAAGATTTATTTGTGCATCCAGAACTGGGGCACAGACCAGAGGTGCAGGGGCGGTGAGAGGCTTCACCAGAGACAGAGCGGGGAGCAGAACAGGCAGATCGACGAAGCACACTGCTGAGGGAGCAGCGGGAGACAGGAGGGGTCTGCCGCGCCCTGTGGTCACCTCCGGAGCTGGGGATCAATCGGAGCACTCCGAAGTGGCTGCAGCTGGCTTGCAGTGCTGCGTCCTACCCCGCTGGCCACCACGGAGAGCGGCACCCCGCTTTGTCAGCCTCAGGCTTGTGAGGTCCTCATGCCCCCAAATCATTGGCCATCTTCACCCCACTTGAAATTGCAACCCCAGTCCTGCCTTACCTGCCCCCACATCCGCACAGGACTCATCTAGGCCTGTGACAAGCGGGGCTCACTCGTGCTTCCCGCCACGGTGGGAGGCTGTGTGCGCGTTCCTCGCCAGCCTCTCCTTGACCCTCAAGCAGGCCTGGCGCAGATGCCCGGTCAAGCCTTAATGCGAGTTTCTACAACCACCCTCGGACGTGGGGAAGAAGCCAAGGGCAAGAGGGACGCGCCACTCGTGAAAGCAGCCGCCGCTCACAGCGCCTCGGCGCCGGGCCCTGCGCGGCACAGGCCTAGTCTCGGGCTGGCTCCGGGCGCCACCGCGGCTGCCGCTCACACAGACGGGCCGGCTGGGCGACCCACGCGCCTCGCAGGCAGCAGAGCAGCTGCTCACGCCCCGGGCCCCGGGCCCAGAGCTCACCTGCGGGTCCTCACGGGGCAGCGCCCCCGGTCCAGCGCCCTGGCACCCCTTACCTGGACACACAGGTTGGCGTGGCCCGTCAGGACTGGGAGCTCAAGGGGCTTCTGCGGGGAGACCCGGCCGGTCAGGGGCGCAGCCCCGGCCCCCCTGCTCCCCGGGCGGGCACGGCCCTCCTTACATTCACAGTGACGTTCTCTCGGGGCAGCGGCGGCGCCAGCAGCTGGCAGGGGCCTCCGCCCGGGGCCTGCCAGCACAGCGCGGCCTCGGCGGGCAGCGCGCAGGGCGCGTCCAGCCGCCAGCTCCGCGGGGGCAGGAGGCGCAACCGGGCGGCCCGCCAGAGGTTCTGGTGTGCGCCAGGGTCTGGGGGGGAAACGGGGTCACCGCCAGCCCAGCACGCGCCCTCCAAGCCCCCGCGCCAACTCTGCTGCCCACTCACCATCCCTGAAGGGGCACATGCTTGTCCTGACGGCATCAGGCTCCAGGGGCCACACCTGGAAAGGAAGGGGGCCCAGGTCAGCCCCCCGCCCCGCCCGCGGAGCACCCAGGCCCTCTGGCTTCGGGACTCAGCGGCGCCCTCTGCACACAGCGCCAGCGGCCATTCCTCTTTCCTGCCTTCCAACCCTTGGCCAACGTCGCGATAAGCTTTCCGTCAATACCCGCTGTGCCTTGGCCCTATGCTGGGCTCTGGGGACCCTCAGGAGCTCAGCCCACAGCCTTTGTGAGAGGCGTCTCTGCCGGGCGTGGGCTCGGTGAAAGACTCATCCATTCCCCTGCTCTTCCCGAGAGTTTAAAGCCCTGAGCCCCTGCTACTATTCCTGGTAATATCAGTAACAACAGCACATTGGCTGCAATGAAGGGCTTCGCCAGATAGCTACTGTGCTCGCCCATGGGCACACTGAAATAGCAGTGAGTTTGGGGACCCTCTGTTAGGTCCCCGATTGCTGTGCCGGGCAGTAGGGCTTGTTCATCCAGTCAACAAACCTAGCCAGACCTCTTCCCTTCAGGCACTGTGCAAGGCTCTGGCGGAGTTACTACACTTGAATCAGATACTCCCTCGCCCTCAAGACGGGGTGGGGGGAGGCAGGCCAGGGCTGGAGGGAGCAGTTTTCTTTTTTTGGAAAGAGGTGACATCGAGCAGGAAGGACCCCACTGTGTGGAAAGAAGGGAGGGCACCTCAGGGCCTGGGAACTGCCCTGAGGAAGGGAGAGGGGTGTGGTAGGTGGGAGCTCCGGTAAACCTGGCACAGCTCCTGGGAGAGGGAATCACGGGACAGATGCAGTGGGAGACGCTCCCCCGGGGTCTGGATAAGGGGTGAAGCTGCTGACAGTCGGGAGAGCTGCTGGGGACCCAGGCTGAGCGCCAGGAGGGAGCAGAGTCAGTGACCGTCCTGCCGCGCGGATTGGAGGGACCCCACGGCCCATTAAACAATGAAACCTGAGCTCAGAGGGGCAGGAAAGGGCCGCAGCTGAGGCCTGGAGGTGGCACCTCGCCACCGGCACCGTGTTCCAACAGGAGCCTGGCTCAGAGAGGTGTGTGCCTCCTCCCAGGCCACACAGCCAGCACGTGGCCAGCGTCGGGGTTCAAGCCGGCCTGAGTCCACCGTGCGAGCTCTGCTCTCCGGGACAGAGGGGAGCTGAGGAGTAGGCAGAGGCTTCAAGGAAGAGGCGGCGCTCCACAGGGCGTGGGCAGACGCGGGGTCCTGTGGCCGGAGGGTCAGAGCGCACCTGGGGCGTGCCACACAGGCATGCAGCCACGGCAGCCACCAGCCACGGTCAAGGGCGCAGGCACCGTGGAGCCTCTCAGAGGGGAGTAAGGAGGTGGCAGGGCCAGAGGGGCCCCCCATGCACTAACCGGCCCCTCCCGGCACCCCGCCGGACTCCGCTCCTACCTGAAGACAGAGGCAGGGGAGCAGGTCTGTGTGGTTCAAGGTTATGGTCTGTGGCCCAGTCTGGGGACAGCAGAAAGGGGGCGTGGAGATGAGCAGGCGGATGAGGAGGCCCCGCCAGCGCCCGCTCTGGGGGGGCCTGCTCCCTCCTCCAAGGTCTCCTTCGGGTCACACGGCGGCCTGACCCGGCGCTGGCCCAGACGGGTGGACGTGGCAGAAGGGGCCTCACCAGGTTGCTGTGCCCCCGGGGCTTCGGGGGGCCGTGGAGCTGGTGCCAGTACAGGGACACGCAGAAGCGCTGCTCGTCGGGGACGGCCAGCAGCAGGTGCACCTGGTCGCCGTCCGCAGACACGCTGATCCAGGGCAGGGCTGCGGGAAGGCAGGACGGCCACCCTCACCCCAGCACCCAGCCACCGGCCCCGCCCACAGGCCTGGGGGGCTCCTTCAAACGGGGAGAGCCCCGGAGGGCACGCCTGCGCCAGAACCGCAGGCCTTTGTCCCCAGCAGCCAGCCGAGGGCTGACCCCAGGTAGGCGCCAGCACGTGTCTGGAGCTGACGTTCCTGGCGACTCTGCAAACTCCAGAAGGATCCCGGAACCACCGTAAAATACGGCAAGCCATTCCCTCCGCTAGCACCTCATGCCCTCTAGCGTACCCCCAAAGCAACAGCCAGAGTCCTCACTGGCCTCCTTCCTAACTTGTGACTCACCCGGACACTCTGCTGCCTCAGGCCCTCTGCACGGGCTGTGCCTCAGCACCGAGCCCTCTTCCCTCAGACGCCCACGGGCGCCGCCCCACCCTTCACAGTCCCTCACCAGAGACCTCGCCAGCCCTGCGTCGCCCGGCCGCCCTCCCCTGCCCTCCCTCTCCAGGGGAGGTCCCCCTTTGCACAGCTCTCGCCTCCAGGCCTTAACCGTGTCCTCCCGCTGCCGGACCCCAGCCCTGCAGCCTGACCATGTTAAGAGGTCGGGGGGGGGATGCTGGCCAGTTTTGTTGGTGGACGCTGCTCCAGGGCCTAGTTATGGCCAAGGCAGAGCGACCGACCACTCTGGGATCTCCAGCTGCAGACGCCAACAGCACCTGTGCCCCCTGCTTGGGGCCAAGAGTCCTCAGTGGCTCACCAAGGGGACCGGTCCTGCTTGAAGGTTAAGGAGCCAACGAGAAAACAGCGCTGACATAACAGGAGCTCAGAAAACGGCTTTTTCTCGCGAGCTGCCTGGCTTGCCTGGGGTTTATGCGAGTGCGCGAGCCCTGCGAACTGCACTGTGGCCCTGCGGACACCAGCTGCAGGACAGCCCGCGGGACAGTCCGTCCCGGGCTGAAAAACATGAACTGACTAGACATTTACACTAGTGACTGCATACGCTTTTCTGTATGCTGCATCGAGAAGAAAATACAAAACATAAATGAACAAGCAAAGTCTGAACGGTGCATGGGAGGAATCATCAGAACGTGACTTTTTTAAGCCTTATTTTAGGGTTTTATATTTAATATTGGGGGGCACCGTAATATTAACTGTGGTGAGCCTCAAACTAATGTTTGTTTTAAGAAGTGAGTGATTCATCTTTATATCCCCAGTGTCTGGCACAAAGGAGGATGGATGGGTGGAGATGGAGGATGGATGGGTGGATGGAGGATGGATGGGTAGATGGAGGATAGATGGATGGAGGATGGAGGATGGGTGGATGGAGGATGGATGGAGGATGGATGGATGGAGGATGGATGGATGGAAGATGGAGGATGGATGGAGGATGGATGGAGGGTAGAGGATGGAGGATGGATGGGTGGATGGAGGATGGATGGGTGGATGGAGAATGGATGGGTGGATGGAGGATGGATGGAGGATAGAGGATGGAGGATGGATGGATGGAAGATGGAGGATGGATGGAGGATGGATGGGTGGATGGAG